TCTCTCAAATAAATAAATAAAATCTTTAAAAAAAAAAAATCTTTTTTAAATAAAATACCACAGATGGAGAAATTAAAAGTCCATCAATTAATTTTTAGGTTACCCCCTTCCACTTATGATGAAAAAAATACTAATTTTTACATAAGTTTAAGATGGAAGTATTTTTAACAGAATGAGACACCACAATGAAGGCTTCATGAATAATTTATTCCATTTGAAGTTTTTTTTTTTTTTTAAAAAGTATAAACCTTTTCATTTCCTCAATCACAATTTGTACAACTCAGTGTTATGGCATTCGGCAGCAATAGTGTTTGTTCCTTATTCTTTTTTTGTCACATTAAAAAAAAAAAAAGCAATTGGACCATATTAAATGTCACTGCTAAACAACAACTTTAAAACGCCCCTTCATAAAGTGACCAAGCTATTTGGAGAGAGTTGATGCTGACATGTCCAGTAATGACGTTACAATTTGTAGTTTAAACTCAGTAACTTTAAGGTCCACAAATCCAGTTTACTTTGAAAACTAAAGCTATTTTAAAACTTCATGAATACATCAACCTGAGGAGTATTTTAGGTCCCAAATCCAGTTTTTTAATTAATACTCCACAAAAGAGAAAACACATATGAAAATTTAAACCACAGTTCTGGGCCCATTAAAACACCAAGAAAAACCAGAAGGTTAAGATTTCCAGCTGATTGGGGGATTGAGGGGAGAGTGGAGGAGGAGGAGAGCGGGGCCAAAAAAAAAAAAAAGAAGTATGTCAAAAACATTTTTCCTTAATTTAGACAAACTAAAATCTTAAGAGGAAACCCAGACCAAAACATTACTCATGCAACATTAAATGTATTAACAGACTGATATGCGATGCCATAGTAGATGAAGAGCAAATTATATGATGCGACAGCATTTAAAAACTTCCTTTTAATGTATTCAATTTGAACATTTTAAATAATGCAACATAGTATTTTGATATTACAGTATTAACATAGTGCTTGATTAAAGATCTGCAAATCTTTGTAGTAACACATTAAGTTAAAAAATTACCTCAGAAGGTAAATACGAAGACGGAAGGAGAATATTTTAATACAGTAATCTGTGCCATACTGACAATTGAGTACGAATACAGCTGAGGATAGTTGACTAAGTAGTAAGAGCTTAATTTTAGTGGTTTAAGAAAAGTTTAGAAAGATTTAAAAATTACAGCTACTTTAAAATTTAAGGATTACATATAAGTACACTTGGTGGCCTTCTGGCCAAACAATAAGGTGTACAGAAATTTATTCATACAGTGTTAATTCACAGTCCTGATAACTGAATGGCTTGCATAAGAAAGTATGGCTAGATGTTTCTCACTGGTTGGAAGCAGACATTATATAACTAATCTTTTTAAATGCCAAAATACTGAACTTCCACCCTGCTTGGTAATGGATAACTGCACAAAAAACAGACATTAGCACTGTAACAAAGAAGTCAAGGTGTTGGTGATCAACTGGTATAAAGAATATATTATTTTGCTTACCATTTAAACAAACAAAAAAATACTACCCATACTTGTCTGTGACAGTACATTAGTAAGTCAGATCCATCATCCTGCACAAAAGGCTTAATTTTTTTTCTGAAATAAGTCTCCTGACCTTTTCTAATGGCTATTTAGCAATTTTCTATTTAAGTGTGAATTTATATATGAAGGGAAGAAAAAAAATCTTATCAGTAAATCCTGTATATTTGGGAACTACTCCCTGATTCCCAGATAAAAAGGAATTGTATACTGCGTTCCTTCCTTATGGCTCCATATAAAAGAAACTGTCAGGGAGTAATTTTTTAAAAATCTATTTTCAAAACTGAGGTGTGGTTACTATAAGCTAGTGACAGTAAACAACTGAGAATACAGTTTTTATTTTTAAAAGTCACTACTGAGCTAAGTATATTTTAAAAAGGATACTTTTTAAAGAAATTCCAAATAAGCATCTTTTCCCTCAAATCTCAGACAAGTTTTTTTTTTTTAAGTACAGAACAAAACATGCCAACATAATCTGTAGTGTGCTAGCATAATTTAACAATGAATGCAGAGATGAGATCTTTAAATTTTAATTTCAAAAATGCTGACCACTGGAATTGCATTGTAATTTTGAAGAAATGATTGAAAACCTTTGTCACCAGTTGTGTTCTTCATAGAAAAAACAAGACTTGCTAATGTTTCAATATACACAATTTGAAGAAGTTATATTGTTTATAAGAAAGTGATATTTAAGCTAAGCATATAGTATTTACAAAACAAGTTTCAGTAAAAACAAAACAAAACATACCGAATTACAGTTTTGTAAATACAACTGATTTTGTCTTTGTGGAGAATTAGTGAATGTACAAATTCCGAATTTTGCTAGACTGCTTCCAAGAAAGATAGGTAGACTTGGTGACTGTGAATTCAAGTCAGCAACATAGGTAGGAGGCTAACTTGGACTCTCCTGTGAGCAGCACTGTAGAAACAACATTTTAAGGGGGTAAAGTCTGCATAAAAGCATTTCTCTTGGCATGTGCAAACAAGAAGGGGGAAAGCTGTATTGAAGGAAGGGGTGAATTAAAGTCCCTAAAATTCAAGTCCCTTCTTTAGGGAGGTGAGAACCTCCTTGGCATATGCCCTGCCTTAATCTGAGCTGTGTAATAGAAAAGTACAGACTCTGGTGTTTGGGACTGCCATCTCCAAACCAAGAAAATTAAATAAATAAAAAAGGCAAAAGGAAACAGGTTAAGTTTAGAAAATGGTTTTTTAACTAGTGGAATAGAGTCTGAATACCAGAATTCACTGAGAATCTATTTACACCACAGTTTGATTGCACACACACACCCATACATATGCATACTCTCACACACATTCCCAATCTTTAATTTAAAAAACAAAAAAAGTCAACCAATCAGAGTGACTGTTCTTAAAATAATTTGTAAAATGCCTAGAGCTGGGCTAAATTTCAACCTTATAGCAGATCCTGAAGATAATTTTCGTAATTAATAATATTCCCATGCCTAGATGTGCCACTGTCAAAACTGAAAAAAAAACCCCCAAAAACAAAAACATTTAAGCATGTAACATTAAACACCAAAATTAGTTTAAGCATTCAGTAGCAAATGTTTTTCTTGTAAAACTAAGTTTCTTTCACTGGAAATGGCCTGAAATATTAGTCATAGCCCTAAACCATAGTACAAAATATAACTGAAGAATTCTCATTTTATTCTAAGTTAAACCACCCAACAATATCACTTGTATATTGCCATCATGTTATTCTGTAAAGGTGTGATATATAAAATGCTGTAAGACCCAGTACCTTTTCAATTTATAAACACAGTGAACTTCATTACTGTACATGTACTCTGCAACTACAGCTTAGCTGTAAATCCTCCACACACAATGGTATGGACATTATTCCCCCTCTATCCCCATTAAACTGTACATCGAGACAATACAAATTTACTGTCCCACCCACCCCCTTACAAAAAAATAATACTCTAAAAGCAACCCTACTGCAACTTTTTAATTAAGACGATTACATATATTTTAGACCAATTGCTTTAAAGCAAGAAGGCAGTATAAACCTTCTAGGAAAATTTTTATAAAAGAGGTTAAGAAATATAAGACAATTTATACATTTAAAAACTTACAATAAATAAGAGATGCAGGCATTTTTGAATACTAGATACTATAATCCAATACAAGAACATCTTGATGTTCTGAAGCCATATGTTGAAATTCATTGTTCCTCATGTTTCCTCTCCATGCTTTTAATATTCATTTAATATGACTGGGTACTATGGCTCATTACTTTTCACAAATACTGTGACTGGAAAAAAAAAGGTTAATTTTGCTATGAAACTGTTATAATACGTTTTGTATGATCAGTCATCATCCTAAAGAGTTCAGTATAGTCAATGAAAAATAGCAGGGTTATAGCCCCCCCCAAGTCAAAACAATATTTGTTGAAGTAATAAGAATTAGACCCCATCACAGATGACTTTCACTGAGAAGATAACTGTAACTTAATCTTGCAGCGAAATATCTTTTTTCCTTGTTCTTTTCTTGCACAGTTCCATCGAATGAAGATCACAGCATATTCATGATAAAGTTATATAACTGATTCAGCACCACAAAATGAATTGGGAGACATGAGCGTCTGTCCTGGATTGCAGGGTCACAGGTTAGCCAGGAGAGTGCATTGTACTGTTCCAAAACAAACCTGAAAAGTGTAAGTCATGTATTTACTTTCACTGTAGATTTTGGAAACAGTTCCCAATTATAGCATCTAAGATTCAAAGCTACTTTATTTTTTTTTTTAATTTTTAAAGATTTTATTTATTTATTTGACAGAGACACAGTGAGCGAGGGAACACAAGCAGGGGGAGTGAGAGAGGGAGAAGCAGGCTTCCCGCAGAGCAGGGAGCCCGATGTGGGGCTGAATCCCAGGACCCTGGGATCATGACCTGAGCTGAAGGCAGACGCTTAACGACTGAGCCACCGAGGCGCCCCTTTTTATTTTTTTGAAGACTTTACTTATTCATTTGACAGAGAGAGAGTGCATAAGGAAGGGGCGCCCCAGAGGGAGAGGGAGAAGCAGACTCCCTGCTGAGCAAGGAGCCCGATGCGGGGCTCGATCCCAGGACCCTGGGATCATGACGAGCCGAAGGCAGACGCTTAACCGACTGAGCCACCCAGGTGCCCCTCAAAGCTACTTTAAAAAATGGTGGAAGGTATGGAATAAAGAGTCCTTGGGGAGATTAAAGATTAACTAATTTTCATAAAAAGAACTCTCAAAAGTAGATTACACATGCTAGAAAGAAAAGCACTCATTCTGAATGATGTACTTCATCTAGAGATCCGAGGGTACACAACTGTTAATTATTGCCAAATATGAGAGAAATATGTAAGAATCAACATTATATTCTTTCAAAGATGTAATGGAGAACCTTTAATGGGAAAAAGACTTATACCTGAGGACATCTGAAGTCTGATTTGAGTCAAGTGGGTGGGAGTGTTTACTGTGAAGCAGCTCGTCAGATTGCACTGAAGGCACGTGGAGGTGCAAAGAGGCCTAAAAAAACAGGAAATCAGTCAGCCAAATGGAAAAGTTGTTGGTTTTACCTTATTTTCCCAAGGTCTCGTCCTTGATGAAATACATTTTAGACCTATGTAATGAATGGGCACCACTATAAAGATGTTTGTTCTCCTTGTTTAACCAATTTATTACAGAATTTTTAAGTGCATAACTTATATTCAATCTTACTTTATTTTCGTCACCTCTATGCTTTTGAGACCACATAATAATCCTTAAAAAAGTTATTTAAAAGTTATTTTAAAAGTCATTTAAAGTCATCTATTTTCTGAGTGTAACACACCTAGATGCGTAAATGTTTAAAGAAGCACTAAACTGATAAACCTGAAGTCTGTCTACAGGTTACATAGAACTTTATGCACATACACGTAAGTCTAGCACTGAAAAATGTTAGGAGGAGTAAGCATATGCAAATATACTGCTTACAAAGCTATAAATTTTAAACAAAGTTACCTATGGTGGAATTGTGAGCACTCTACTACAGTGCATAGTGCCTTCTTTGCCCATGCAATTTCATAATGGAGGCTTGGTGACAACTGTCACACCCATTTCGGTATGACAATGAAGAGTGGAAGAAAGGAATTTCAATTAAAGTGAATCATTTTTTGTTTATTGAGTCAATGTATGTAAAGTGTTAAAAAAAAAAACTATGAGAGATGGAGAAACTCTTAGCAGATCTCATTCTGTATACTGTAAAAGGTACTATTTTATATTTAGGTCATCTCTTCTCTACAACTGTTAATATATATATATATATATACACATATATATATATATAAACTCTTGTGTTATATATTCAAGAATATAACCAAAGATATGTATTTTTTTAACTGCCCATAAACTCTTGATTTATAAGTTATAAGCAAAAGTCTCATATGGCATATCACTACAAATCAGATGAATATAGTCAGTACCAGAAATTACCATTTAATTTCTATGATAAAAAGATTTTTTAATCATCTAGGTAACAATCTATTATTTTTCCAAGTAAAGAGAAACACATCAGGTGGTTTTATTGCCTATGGTATAGGAAAAAAAATGGAATGTATGAAAACAAAAGGTGAACAAAATTATGGTAAATTATGCCTTACCTGGTAATTCAGACCAGAAGTCCTAATCTTGTTACACTGTATCTGAGGGTGAATGCCCACTTTACACTATCCTCTCTGCAAATAAATATTGAGTAGAAAAGAATCTGGATAGTCCCTTGGACTTTTTGTAAAGTGGTGTTTCCTAAAAAAATGTTCCGTGAAACACTAAGGTCATGAACTATTCATTGGTGTTACACAATCGCTTTCTGGTGTATTAAAGTAAGTTTGGGAAATAGTAGGTATACAGTGATATTTACTGCTGTTTTTCCAGAAACTTTAATGTGCATACATGTATTATAACAACAAAAGGGGGGCAGAAAGCATGTGCAACATTTCCCAAAGGACGAAAGAACCCTTTCTTTTGAAGAAACACCAACGACTACTATTTTGCAGAAACACACTGGGAATATGTTCTTGTAATGAAATCTGTACAGGCCACTGTACATATATTGGAAGGGGAAGAAAAGTCATATGATAAAACTTCATTACCTTGACTGACACTCCCTAAATATATTATTGCATCAATAGTCAATTCAGATCAACAGTTGTTGTATTCTTTATGAATGTGCTACTGAAGTTCAATGCTTAGTCTCAAATGTCACTGACTCAATGGTATGTGGGCCAAGGGTATCAAGATTTAATAGCAACAGGCTTAAGAGAGGACAAGCCTATTGGTTCAGGTACCCACTAAACTATAACCCCCAAAAACTAAAGCATAGTATCCAACTTTTATCCTACATGTAAAAAACAATTGGCAAGAAGTGAGGTTAGCATGACTTCTGGAATAAAACAGTCAACTTCTGGTGCATGTATGTAAGAATAAGTGAATCAGATCTGAATTTCCTATTTTGGAATAGTAGTAAGCAACAGCAGTAACAAACTCTGGATAGGGCTTTCACATCTCATTGTACCATTTTATAATGTATCTCAACCTCGTTATGTCACTTGCTAATGAACTTGTTTGGATAAATAAGTCACTATGGGTCTGAGAATCTTAGCACTTGAAAACCACTTAATAGTCTAACACAGCAATTTACACAAAGCTAGAAAAAAATTTTTAAGGAGGTAGTAAATGGACCTAAATATCAAATATTCTTACAAAATTATGAATCCTTTAATCCCCAAAATATTATGGCATAATAGCAGTATGATGTAATTCAAAGAATAACAGTATAATCATGAAAGGATCCCGACTGGGTCTACTACCAATTTATGACTTTGGACAAATGAGTTTTTCTGAACTTTAATATGCTCACCTAGAAAATGAAGAGGTTAGATTAAAAGTAATATAAGGTTCACCCATATTTAAACTTCCATATGTGCAGCTGCAAATAATAAGAGCAAGGGTCCCAGAAATATGACTTAAGATTAATTAAAAGTTCAAACTTAGTTTCAGTTTTTAAAAAGTAGAGCTATTTCATAATTAGATAACTTCCTTGTGATCTTGTCATATTTCATAATGCATTTAATAAGACCTTAGACACTTCTATTTCTTAGGAATTAAGCCATCAATTAGCATTATTTAGGAACTGGCACAGAAATGGAAATACCTTAAGAAAAAGGGGACACTGATATTGTGCTTGAGGACATGCTGACCAGAACCAGTCAGGTAACGGACCCGCTTTGGCAGTTGATACAAAGTAACCAAGGGCCAATGGTTGCTGAAGAATATTAGTTACTTCATCATGAGATTCTGTTGAAAGTAGTCGATCAGTACCCTGACCCTTAAATAGAGAAAATTAAAAGTGTGTTAGTTCATTTGATATACCTTGGCACTAGATAATACAGAATGGTTTATGGCAATTAGTCTATCTTATGACACCAATTTAAAAAAATACTAAAGGATATTGAAAAAAATCAATTGCTATGTACTTAGAAGATCATAATTAGTAACAATATTAAAAGAATGAGTTTTAAGAGTTATATGAGGAATTTAATATACCAACTGTTTAACAAGTTTGTATTATTATGCCAAGCCCATGTTCAATGAATGTGTGTATAAACCTTTCCAGCCAATTGAAAAATACAAAATGTTCAATGAAATTTCTAACTTACTTCCTAATACTCCCTCAACTAATTCCTGACCACCACATCTCAATCCAAAAGGTAAATTAAATTTAGCTTTGTTCATCTAACGCTATAAAATATAGTTATTAGTTTTTTGGAAAGCATTATGGCAATAGGAAGGGACAACTATTAAGTGATGCTCATATCCTTCAGATTAGTCCATGTATTTCTTGGTATTTATGTTAATAGATAAAAAGAAGAAAAATGATATGCATGGAAATGTTCATTGCAACATTGTCTATAACAGAAAAAAATAAAATACTTAAATGTCCAACATTCTGGGAATGATATAACATATTACAGGACAACGACGTTAAAAGGTGATTATACTTATTTATATGTATTGAAAGCTGCAATATAAATACATGTGAAAGAAAGGTAATCTGCTAAAAGTAAAAACGATTTTATTAAAGTGGTGAGATTACTCGTGCTTTTCTATATACATATATATTTTTTCAATAATCTCACTTTTTCAAGGTTTTTATTTTTATGTAATCTCTACACCCAATGTGGGGCTCGACTTAAAACCCCGAAATCAAGAGTTGCATACTTTACTAACTGAGCCAGTCAGGCACCCTAATAATCTCACTTCTTTCCAGTTTAAAAAAAAAAGGAAAGATGTAAGGTAAAACTGGAGAAAGATCCTTATTTTATTCTTAAGATTTTATCTATTTACTTGTCAGAGAGAGAGCGAGCGCGCAGAAGCAGGGAGAGCAGCAGGAAGAGGGAGAAGCAGGCTCCCTGCTGAACAAGGAGATGGATGCATGACTCGATCCCAGGACTCTGGGATCACGACCTGAGCCAAAGGCAGGCGCTTAACTGAGCCACCCAGGTGTCCCGAAAGATCCTTATTTTATTTTTTTATTTTTTAAAAAGATTTTATTTATTTGACAGAGAGAGACAAAGCGAGAGAGGGAACACAAGCAGGGGGAGTGGGAGAGGGAGAAGCAGGCTTTCCACGGAGTAGGGAGCCCAATGTGGGGCTCGATCCCAGGACCCTGGGATCCCTGGGATCATGACCTGAGCCGAAGGCAGACGCTTAACCGACTGAGCTACCCAGGTGCCCCAAGATCCTTATTTTAAAAGGGCAGATTCTAAACATATGCATACTGTAACAATCAAATAACCACTATATATAATTTCACTCAAATAAAGATGTTATTCAAATGAAGCCCAATTAGTTCTGAGTTCAAATAAAAGGACAAGACAGGCTGCTTCCCAAATGCTAAAAATTAAGACAGAGAGAAGCCCTGATTGAATGGCATCTCTTAGGGCATATACTAATTCTCAGATAATCTGATCCTATACCTGATTAGAAGCAATGGTAAAGAGGCAGGAAAACTACAAAAGAAGGACTAAAGCCAAGTAGTCTAGAAAAACATGAAGTCAGGGACAGCAGACCCTTAGAGATTCTCTTTATAATTCACAATTCAAAGTAGTAACATCTGTAAGACAGAGTGCAAGAATGTACTATTAATCTCACTTCTTGTTAATTTCCCAGGAAAAAAAAACGTTTTATTTCATATATCAATCCATTAATAAGTTAATGAATGACATTTAGATTAAGCTTTTATAACACGGTTACCTTGCCAGCATCACCTCCATGGGGGTAATGAGATCCTGGAGAATGTACAGGAGACCCCGTTGGAGATGCAGGAAGAATATTAATGATATCAGGGTCAAGATCATCTCCTGTGTCTAATAAATCAAAGATACCCATTCCATCTGCTCCATCTACACAGAAGAAAGAAAAATAAATAAATCCTCCATTTTTCACATCCCGCGGTCATTTTTAGGGGAGGGTTAAAATAAATTAATGAATTTTAACCAAAATGGGTTAATTTAATTAACATCTATTGAATGTCTACCATGTGCCAAGTATTGTTTTAGGAGCCATATAAACAATTATACATTATAAACAAGCATGTGGTAGTGTGAATAATGCCCTCCCCCAAGATGTCCACATCCTAATCCCAGGAATGTGTGAATATGTTACCATAAAGAACTCTGCAGATGTGATCAAGCTAAGGATCTTGAGATGGGGAGATTATTCTGGATTATCCAGGTGGGTCCAATGTAATCACAGGGGTCCTAATAAGAGGGAGGCAGTAGGGTTAGAGTCAGTGATGGAGATGTGATGATGCTACACTGCTGCTGCTGAAAATGGAAGAAGGGGCCATGAGCAAGAGGTGCAGGTGAGCTCTAGAGGCTGGCAAAGGCAAAGGAACAGATTCTCCCTTAGAGCTTCCAGAAAGAACCAACCCTGCAGACACACTGACTTCAGCCCAGTTAAGACTGATTTTAAGCTTTTGATCTCCAGAACTGTAAGATAATAAACATGTGTTGTTTAAAGCTACTAAGCATGTGTCAATTTGGTACAGCAGCAACAGAAAACTAATACAAAACAAACATAGTATGCTGGAAATGAAAATGTATTTAAAATGGACTATGCACAATACTCTAATTCTTTATTAGTATATAAAATACATTCAAGTTATTGTATAACGCACTGAAAGAAGAAAATAATAAATACTCCTTACTTGTGATTTTGTTTGTTTCTTTTTTTTTTTTTTTAAGATTTACTTATTTGGGGGTGGGGAGCGGCAGAGGGATAGAAACTCAAGCAGACTCCATGCTGAGCAAAGAGCCTGACACGGGGCTTGATCCCAAGACCCTGAGATCATGACCTGAGCCGAAATCAAGAGCGGGATGCTCAAACGACTGAGGCACCCAGGCGCCCCTTACTTGTGACTTTAGAGATGTGCCATTTTCTAAGGTACCTCAGAGCAACAATGGAATATCATTTATTTTCTCTTCTACTAAAATGTAATCTGTAAGTTTATCTACAAGAGTTATTCCCTACTATGGCAGTTTACGTAAATTATTTTGGCAAATCAACTTAGAAAGGAATATAAAATGTGCTGCAAAGTCTATGGTCTATGTACAGGTAGTGAGCAGCACAGGCAAAAACCTGTGCATTTCATGATCAATGTTGCCTTTTAAAATAAGTAAATATTTATGAGATAATTCACAGCACTAGTTCCAGTATCAGTAAGGTAGAAGAATGGTTGTATTAGTATCCTATTGCATTTTTAACCAATTACCACAAACTTGTTGACTCAAAACAACATGCCTTCATTCTCTTACAGTTCTGGGGTCCAAAAGTCCAAAATCAGTTTTACTGGGCTGAAATCAAAGTACTGGTCATTAGGTCAAAATCAGGAACCAGGAGGCCTATGCTCTTTCTGGAGGCTCCAGGGGAAATCCGTTTTCTTCTCTTTTCCAGCATCTAGAGCTACATTCCTTGCGTTCCTTGGCTCATGGCCCCTTCCTCTATCTTCAAAGTCAGCAGCACAGGATTATTTCTCTGTGACTTTCCTTCCCTCCATTTCCATCACATGACCTTCTCCTCTTTTGGGCATGATCAAATTTCCCTTTGCTTCCCTCTTATAAGGATACACGTGATTGCATTTAGTGCCCACCTGCATAACCCAGGATAACCTCTCCATCTCAAGATCTTTAACTTAATCACATATGCAAAGTCTTTTTTGGTCATATAAGGTTAACACTGATAGGTTTCAGAAACATTTACCGGACAAGGATAGGTTTGGGGAGGCATTCTTCAGCCTAAAATCAGCCACAATCATCCAAGACTTATTTTATATTTGCAAACCTGTAAAGAACAATTCACCTACCATTGTTGGGATTAAAGGCTAAGTCCAAATTTTCAGTGGTATAAGTAGCTGAAGCTACTTGCACAGAAGCCGAAGTAGGGAACACGAGTATATGAGTACATGATGTATCCTGTGGGGTATTTAGCATCTGAGATGTCTGCATATTTAGAGTGGTGCTTCTTCCAAACACAGAACCAGTTGACACAGAATCTGGAAATAAAGAGAATTTATTTTTCCTTTCAATAAAAGAAGAATCAATTTTACATAATACTAGAAACACAAGCACATGAAAAATTAAATCTGATATAAACTAAGGATAGCTAACCTGGCATAATAACAAAAGAGCCTTGGGGTTCCATTGCTACCAAGCAAGCACTGAGAATGCTGGGAGAGTCTGCAGCAGATATACCACACATTCTACACATGTCTTTGAGCCTTTTACTTAGAGACTGCAAGTTTCGACGACTCAGCAAACTGCTCCAATCTGTGGATATCAAGAGTAAAAAAAGAAAAAAAAAATCCAAAGTAACAGCATTGTTAACGCCCTCTAGAACCAAAGTTAAAACATAATGGTTTTAAAACTAGTGAATTCCTCCAATAGGAGTCATCATCAAGCCAAAAATATTGCTGATGTTACTCAACATCCTTTATCTACCTAACTTTAATGTATGTCAACATCAATTAGTATTTGCTAAACAGGGGATGAGCTGAATAATAAGCAGAAAGAGGAAAAAATAGAAGACAATAAATAAGAATAGTAGTAATAACACTGGTGGTATAGTCAAAATATAAAATGTCCTTTTAAAATTGGAATTAGGTCATCTGTGACCTAGACATATGTGATTCCTCTTTGAAAACAAAACAAAAAACTAGTTTTTATAACCTCTGCATTTTATTCAGAACATATACCCATATGTGGCCTAACAGTGTATTAATTAACATAAAACAGAAGTTGAAGTACTTAACAATCAAAGCACAATTTTACCTTTCAATTCTCCATGACCAATCCTTCCTAAGCGGCCAATTACAACTCTCCACGGTAATGAACTCATTTGTACAAGTCCTAAGCACCACTCCCAAAGTTTCTGTAGACCAAACCTTCTAGCAGATCCTTTTTTCCGACGAGCCCTGTTGTACAGAATAAAGAGACAATTAAATATTTCGAAAAATCATATGAGAACATTTTAAAAGAGCTCAAATCTGTGAAAAACTAGTCCCTCAATTTTAATGCCTGATACTTTTTATGTAAGTCATAAGCAAGAATATACATAAGACCATAGTGTTTAGCATGCTACTTTATGTTTTTCATAATACACATTAAAATAGGTTCTTAAGGGGCGCCTGGGTGGCTTAGTCGTTAAGCATCTGCCTTCGGCTCAGGTCATGATCCCAGCGTCATGGGATCGAGCCCCGCATCGGGCTCCCTGCTCAGCGGGAAGCCTGCTTCTCCCTCTCCCACTCCCCCTGCTTGTGTTCCCTCTCTCGCGGTCTCTCTGTCAGATAAATAAATAAAACCTTTAAAAAAAAAAAAAAAATAGGTTCTTAAAATAAAAATTGTTCATGAACCACCAAAATTCATCAGAAACACTGTTCTACACCAGAGATTGGCAAACTTTTTCTTTAAAGGGCCAATATATTAAGCTTTGCAGGCCATCAAGATTCTGTTGCAACAATAACTCTGCTGCTACAGCATGAAAGCAGCCATAGATAATACTTAAACAAATGCATGTAGCCAGATTTGGCGCATGGGCTGTGGTGTGCCAACCCTTGCTCTATACTTTAGGTTGAAGAATATTAAACAAAAGACTACACTTCTCAGACCAAACAACACTGTTGTGTTTTCTGCACGCATGTCCTTTATCAGGCAAGTACATGACATGAGCACTCTGTGGCTGAGCCATGGCAGCTATGATTTACTGAATACTTAATACATAGCAAGCATTATGCCCAGTCAATTTACATGTAATACTTCATTTCAGCCTAACAAACCCTAGGAGGGAGATAAAATTATTCTCCCAGTTTTATTTATTTTATTTATTTATTTTATTATTTTATTTATTTATTCTCCCAGTGGAAGCTCAGCTAGCTAAAGCAATTTTCTCAAGATCATATACCCAGTACGTAGGAGAGTTGGGATTTGAACCCACGTCACCATGACTCTGGGGTTGGACCTTTATACCATTATCTCACTTCTACTTTCAGTAAAATGGCAATACTATCTTTGTATTGGAAAGGTGGTATTATTCTTTCTCTATTCTTTCTCATCCTTCACAGATAAGCACACTATTTCCAAAACTCACTTAATGAACATTTTAAAAAATCAAAATTGTGTCAAGGAAATAAGGTATGAAGTATTTCTCTAAGGTTTATAAAAAATGGTCAAAAAATCTTTATAACCAATAATATAAAATTAATGTTTCTATATTCCACTTCTTCAGCACCACTATAACCCAATATTCATTAAACATTTCTGCACATAATCAATTTCTGAACTTAAACTGATCTTTATATAATAAAAAAAATAAAGGATACAACCAAACCTCAAAACTGAACATTACTTCATTGACCTGCCTTTCAGGTTCTCTTATGCCATGTTCACTAGCCTTGAAACATGTTACTAGAAATGTCTATTAGGTTATAACTTAATATGAGGCTTACCTGTTGTGATCTATTAGTTACAGCCTTGATAAATAACTGAGCATGATATCTAATTACTACCAAGAAAAATTCTAAAAATTTTCAGAAGACATTCCAACACTTAAAAGGAAAATTTTCAGTCAACAATTTTAGTAAAGGAAGTTAACTCAGTTAATTAGGGACTATATTTTAGATGGTACCTGAGAGAAGTAAATGCTATAGGATGCTCTTTTTTAATTGCAGAGGGCTCTCTCGTTCCATTCTTTAAAATTTCTTAGGCTGAAATCATTGCCTCAAGCTTTATTACATAGAATTTAGGGACTTTACTCTCTTTTGTCTGTGTAACAAAGATCACTCAAAATTATTTCTAATTATACAATATATTCACTACCCAAAAAAGTGAAAAGCACGCACAATCCCAAAACTTAATGTACATGACCTTCCAGTTTTCTATTCATTAAAAATGAAAGTGTGTGTGTGTGTGTGTGTGTGTGTGTGTGAGAGAGAGAGAATTTTTTAAAATGGATGATATAATGATACACTTAAAGAAACAGAGGTACCTATTTGGGACATCGATGTTAATGATACAAGTCTCTAAAAGTTCTCCATATAGATCTGTGCAAGATGCAAGAATCCATCTTTGATCATGTGATAAACAGTAGCCCACGAAAAGAACATTATATTTCTGTCCAGCTTCTCCAAATGTTTCTCCTAGCTCTGTCTGTTTATCCTTCACTGGAGCCAGAATAAAAGGTGGTGTATAAAGTCGAATACACTCTGGTCTCTGTAAAATAAAAAATAAAGGTACTATAGTACTAGCCAATTATAGAAAAATCTTTTATTGAAAATGTGATATATTATCAATACCCAATTATAAGATAATCAGAAAATGAGAACTAAACAAAGAACTGCACTTAGTTTTGTATAAAATCATAAAATGTACAGTTATTCAATAACTTTGGTCATGGAAAACATACTTACATCAGGACTTTTAAGAGCAGTTTCCATGGCTAAGCCTGGACCAAAGCCAGTCAATGTTTTCACGTTGGTTGATGTTGGAAGTGGTCTCCGACACTGGGTAAAGGCCGAAAAAGCCAGGGATTTTAAATGCTGGGTATAGATTTGTCTATCTTCGTGTTTCACAGGTTGCAACAGGTACTGACAAGGAACAATCTAAGAATTATAGGCAAATATTACAAAGGTTAAACTTCCAAAACTAAAAATAAAAAGAACCATGGGTCTAGAACTCTAAAGACATTTACTAGAAAATTTAAACAAAACCTAATTAAAACTATGTTCTAAAGAATTCTATTTTAGGGGCGCCTGGCTGGCTCAGTCGTTGGGCGTCTGCCTTCGGCTCAGGTCATGATCCCAGGGTCCCGGGATCGAGCCCCGCATCAGGCTCCCTGATCGGCGGGAAGCCTGCTTCTCCCTCTCCCACTCCCCCTGCTTGTGTTCCTGCTGTCGCTCTCTGTCAAATAAATAAATAAAATCTTTAA